CCTCTTTGGACTCGGTCTTGACTTGGACTCGATCCTCTTTGGACTCGGTCTTGACTTGGACTCGATCCTCTTTGGACTCGGTCTTGACTTGGACTCGATCCTCTTTGGACTCGGTCTTGACTTGGACTCGATCCTCTTTGGACTCGGTCTTGACTTGGACTCGATCCTCTTTGGACTCGGTCTTGACTTGGACTCGATCCTCTTTGGACTCGGTCTTGACTTGGACTCGATCCTCTTTGGACTCGGTCTTGACTTGGACTCGATCCTCTTTGGACTCGGTCTTGACTTGGACTCGATCCTCTTTGGACTCGGTCTTGACTTGGACTCGATCCTCTTTGGACTCGGTCTTGACTTGGACTCGATCCTCTTTGGACTCGGTCTTGACTTGGACTCGATCCTCTTTGGACTCGGTCTTGACTTGGACTCGATCCTCTTTGGACTCGGTCTTGACTTGGACTCGATCCTCTTTGGACTCGGTCTTGACTTGGACTCGATCCTCTTTGGACTCGGTCTTGACTTGGACTCGATCCTCTTTGGACTCGGTCTTGACTTGGACTCGAACCTCTTTGGACTCGGTCTTGACTTGGACTCGAACCTCTTTGGACTCGGTCTTGACTTGGACTCGAACCTCTTTGGACTCGGTCTTGACTTGGACTCGAACCTCTTTGGACTCGGTCTTGACTTGGACTCGAACCTCTTTGGACTCGGTCTTGACTTGGACTCGAACCTCTTTGGACTCGGTCTTGACTTGGACTCGAACCTCTTTGGACTCGGTCTTGACTTGGACTCGATCCTCTTTGGACTCGGTCTTGACTCGGTCTCGACTAGTCCTGGTCTTTGACTCGACAAAGCTGGACTTGACTACAGCTCTAATAGTTTATGCTCAAACAGAAACATTACACACTAACTAACATTAAAAAGTGAAATCGCAATCAACCCCTTTAACCAGATTATTTTATATAAGTGTGTCTGGCGCTGGTGGTGTTGTCCTCCGCTCCACTTGGCGGCGCCTGACGCTCGTGACGTCACACACACACACTCGCAGAAGAAGAGCGGCAGAGTCCAGCGCGCGCGTCTCACAGATCGGCGATAATAATATTTAATATTTAATATTTGCGCGCATATTGTGATATAAATATAAACGTGACGGCGACCGCGGAAGAGTGCTCGTGTCCAGACGGATGGAGGAGTTTCTAAAGCGCTTTAAAAACCACAGCAGAGCGGTACGTTTACTTCAGTCTCGGCTGTCACTTTTTAATCATAAAAATATCAGTTTATCGTAATATGTTTATATTTAAACACGCACGCGTAAATAGTACGTTAATAGTAATTGCAATACAGTAATATATATGCAAGTGTGTGTGTATTAGTGTAGTTTATTTAATTTATTATAGCTTTTAATTATGTTAAGATTGTTGATATGTACATCAGTTATACCTAATGCTCTTCTGTGCAAGAAGTAAATATTATACTCTTTCTTTTAGCATGATTTACAGAAAGCAGCCACTCAAATGTGATTCAGTGTAAGAATGTTGTCATGCATATTAACCTCAAGCATCAGTTTCACCCCAAATATGACTTACTTCTGAGTTAAAGTTTAAAATGCAATCTAATTTAGTGTGCTCACTTATTTGCTTATATGTTTTAAAACGTACAGGTCAGAATAATGGTTTGTTTTGACATTAAGTGCTTCACTGAATGACAGCGCAATGTTATTTCACACACTTTCTTCAAAAGTTTAGGGACAAATATAGCAAGTTCTTGGACAAACCTGATCTAGTTCATCTTCATACAGATCAGTGCATTTGCCTTTGTGTTGTCATCTAGTGACATTCAGCTGCCGGCTCTAGCTGCTCTCTACTGAAAGCAGCACTGTGTCTGACCCATGTGTGACCCCGGAGCACTAA